CATGTTCGTACGAACCCTTTGTACGAACAAAAGGAAGAGAAATTTAGGAGAAGAATACGAACATGTTCTTGCATGAGGCCCACTGTGGTGTTGTTTTTTTTTCATTTGCTGTGTGTACTGACTGCTCTGTAGTGTTTTCTGTTTGACAGACTCGAGGTCTGATTTGACAACACAGTTCGGTTTTGAACACAGTTTGAACTATTTTAAGGCTAGAGTTTGGTTTAGCTGGAAGAGTCAGAGGTTCTGTGAAACTAGTTTGAAAATTGAGTTTTGTGTTTACAGTTTAGAGAAATAGATGGATGGTTTCAAGAAATGTGTTTTAGCAACCGATAAAAACTGTAACATGATAGAAACGCTGACTGTACCTCTCTATGACTGTAAATAAGTGAAAACCTGAGCATCAAACATGAAAGACGTTTAAAATTGTCAAAATAATTGAAAAGCACACAGAACGAAACAATACATGGCAGGCTGAGTAAATAAGCCTTTAATATTGTTTATTAGGAGGCACTACTTTGTGGGGTGAATGGATTTTTTTTTTACTGGGGCTTTGCCCCACCTGCCTTATGGACCTGATTTTGAGACAAAATAACATACATCCATTTCCTTTTATAATTTTTGACCCCTCATCTGAGCCACGAAAAAATAAAATAAAAACAAATATACATTAACAAATACATTGTGGGTATTTTGAAAACGTCCTCATTTTAAAATAGGGCAAATGTCCAATCGTCAGTAAAATAAAGAAAGTTTAGGGTTCTTGTTCATCTGAGGAGCTGAAGTTTCACTTTGATTTGCTGCAGTTTGGTCAGCTTGATTTCTTCCTCTGTGTAGTTACAGGGATACATGTCTGAACAGAGACAGGACTTTTCATGAGTGGAGCTACAGAACTGAACAGAAATCTGGGATTGTTTTTATTCTCTTCTATTAAAGATGAATAATAAACAGTTCTAGCTTTACGAAGGGATTTCTTAAATGTTAGCAGGCTGTCTCTCCAGGTTAAATAAGATTCTTCTGTTAGTGGAGCACCATTTTCTCTGTAGTTTTCTACATGTCTGTTTTAAAGAACGTAACTCTGAATTAAACCAAGCAGTCGGCTTCCTCCGATRGATAACTTTCTTTTTTAGTGGAGCAATTTCATCAAGAGAGGTTTGTATTAAAGTTATAATATTATCAACAAGACCATGTAAGTTACTGTTCTCTGTTACATTATTCTGTAAGACAGGAAAATAAAGATGGAAGAGATTCTTTAAATTTAACTACAGTGTTCTCTGATAAACATCTACTATAGTGAAATTTACTCTCAGTAAATATAAAGTTAACTAATGTAAACTCAAAGGTTATTAAAAATGGTCAGAGAGAACAGGACTGTGAGGATAAATCATTCAGTTCTAACTCTACACCAAACATCAGAACCAGATCAGTGTGATGAACAGAGTGAGCAGGTCTGTGGACATTTTGACTAAAACCAACTGACTCAGTTAAATTACTAAAAGCTATATTTAAGCTATCACTTTCAACAGTACCATTTCAGAATGTCAGAAATATAATTTAAAAACATTTCATGCATAAAAAACAAATCTTTGTTTTCTTTTTTTTTCTCTGCAGCACAAAGTTTTCCTGTTGCCAGACTGTCCCGAACAATGAACCCCTACAGCAAAGAAATGCTGGAATATGTATCCTTCATCACTTGAAACATTCAGTTTTTAATGGCACAAAACCAGTTAGAAATGGTTTGAAATCTGCCGTGTGTTTTCATAGCACACCTTAACAAACTGTAGAAAAATGCACAAGGGAAGATCATTGTTGTGTATGATGAAGATGAGATGATAGCCAGCCAGGCGGCTACTGTCATGTGTCAACGAGGATTTGAGAATCTCTTTTTGCTCAGTGGAGGTAAGGTCTACCATCCTGCTTGTTGTTCAACTTTTCTTTAAATCTTTTTACAAATGCATATCAAACATTTTGAATACGTTAAAGTTTTTTTTTATTTTGCCAGCCATTCTAGAAAGTGAAACTTGTAAATTACATAGATTAATTTCACACAAACTCTAGGTTTGAGAGAGTGAGCACTCAGCCTGTTATTAAAGCTGCACATTTGAATTCTACACAGTGTTTCAACAAGGAGACCTAACTGTACTGTGATAAATGTAATTCAATAAATGATTAAATATGAAAAGTAAATAGCATTTAATTACTATGAGCTGAAATCCTGTAAATAAAGTCCCTTTGAATGAAACCATCATTTTAGGGGAGAAATTCTGTCAAACTGGTAATTTTTTTAAATAATGTTAACTTATACTTTGCAAAATACATGCAGTGCTATATTTTATTAAATAAACATAACAATTGCTCAGTTAGAAACACAAATGACATAAAAGTAAAATACAGAAAGGCCATTTTAAGGCTTCTGTATCCTCCCTGTGAACTGCTGAAATGAGTTCTGATTGTCGCAGTTTCATGATGAAAATAGTTTCATTCTGTTCACAATGTGAACATTTTGGCAGCTCCTGGAGACAACACACCTGCAGAACCTCTTACCCCCTCCACATGAGAACTTTATTGTGTGACTGGTCAGAAGTTCATGGGAGGGTTTGTTTATGCTGAAAGTACTCAGACGCTGCATTTTGTTTCAACCACTTGCTTCCAGAGCCGACTGTTGAACCAGGAAACAGCAGTTTATAAAGATGGTCAAACAGCCAAAAACTCATGGATGGACATCAAACAGAGATTTTGCACGGTGGAATCTAACTGATAAAAACTTTAACTGGGACAGATTTGTGGATAAAAAACATTGAGTGACAGGTCTCTGACATGATTTTTCCACATTGTTGACTCCAGTGGGAGGAGCCCCCCTGTAGTGATGTATGCTGCAGTGGGAGGGGCTTCCCAGGAGCTCAGTGCGGGGTGTCTCAGTGACTATGAAGCTGTGTGAGAAAACGAACGCCGAACAACAACGTGACCACGCATCGACTGTTCAGCTTGGGAGGGAGTATGCAGAAGCCTTAAGACCTCTCTTCTTTCAGAATACCATTGGTCATAAAAATCTAAATGGTGCAGGTTAACGTCTTATTACAACTTCAATGATTCATAAAAACACACTATATTGTGTGTTTTTATTAAGGTCATGAACACAGTACACACCTCTTTACTCCTTGAGAAATGAGAAATCTCTCAAATGTGTGGTGTTGGGAGGGGTTGTTGATGATGCTGGGGTAGTTAGTCTGTGTAGAAAAAAAATCAGTAAAAAGATTTGTTTAAAAGTGTATCTTACCCCCCCTGTGAAAAGATAACTCCGCCCCAAGGCGAAATTTGAAAAATGCATCAAAGTGGGGAGGGGAGTGGGGT